GCTGTTACCCCACAGTTAATCCCCCTCTGACTATTAAAGCCAAGACTTCGTTTTAGTTTCTTGAGCACCTCAGTGATGGAGACCGTTACTGGGATCATACAGCTTACTGCTCAAGACTGGTTACGTTTAAAAATTCAAATGAACCATCACCTTATAACATGGCACGAAAAGGTGTAAGAGGGAAAAGTATAAAAAGCTGCTGCATCGTTCTGTCCAGATACACTTCACTGGATTCATGTGGTGAGAAATGCCGCTGAAGCAGTGTCTTTCCAACAGAGTGTAGTGTACAACAGTGTGGATTTGTGCATTTTATATTAAATAATTTTGAACTACTCAAAACTATAGAGAGAGAGAGAAGCAGGGAGGTGGGAGGTGGAGATCAACTTTCAACAGACGGCTGAAGAGACCCCAACAGAATGAAAAACAGTGCTATTCCTGAGCAGCCTGATCGTAAAACTGGCCACCTTTGGCAACAGCCGAGATAAGCCTCTCGGTGCCTGAATTGTTAAAATGACAAAGAAACTAACCAGAGATTACAAACAGCCTATCGTAACTCTCCTTGGAGGGGGTCAGGAAACTAAACTAAACTACCCCCCCCCCCCCCTCCCACACACACGTAACCGTGGCAACTGACCTTGCTCAGCAGTGTCTTTCCATCAAAGAGATACCCCTTCACGCTTAAGTGACAAAATCCAGGACAGCCCTGAACTTTGTGTAAAGAAAGACTGCAGTCTCCAAAGACTCAAAGCATTAACTGTTTAATTAAATCTTTTAGTTACTTGATTCCGTTTGCCTCTATTTGAGTAATTATGTTACCATGTTGTTGCTATCTGTTGTTGATATTATTGCTGAAAAGAATCTAAAGAAGTTACTTTTTGCAGTGTTTTTATTTTCAGCGAGATTAAGGACACTCCTTCATCTTATGTGCAACCAATGCTTGTTCACAATACTTTCTCACACAATTCCTTTAGAAATGATGATAAAGAAATGTCATACTATACTCTGTTAATTGCCGGCTTGAATTTAAGGCTAAATAACTACCTTGATTAGATTAATCTAAGCTTTCCTCACATAACCTGAGCTCCCCCAAGTGGGCGAAATAAGTATTACATACCATCGTCGGAAATGCCGTTGTTGTGTATAAATGTCACTCATTTATCATGACCAATAATTTGACAAGTGTTTTCCTGTTACCAAATGCTTAACTTTGATTGTGGAAAATATTTGATTATAATACGCGTAAATAGATTTTCTTTTCTTTTATAGACATTAAAAGTTTAGAAAGGCAGTCCCTCGGGAAACCTGGGGGAACCACGCCCCAGACCACAAAAAGAGCAACACGCTACGTCATTCGCTCTCTCTTGCTCTGCTCTGCTCTTCTCTTCCGCTCTGCTCTCTGGACACGCCCGGCGTGCCTCTCCCAGCAACGCCCTAAGAATTCGACCAGCGCAACGAAGTCTTTGTTTCGCTTGAAGATACACACGCGAAGTGCCGCGACATCGATTTGTCCCTCAGTTCCAGCAACTGTTTTGTTAAAGTTATCAGTCCGCTAAGTTACACTAGTTAATTCAAGAATGACCCAGTTCTTTTTAAGCTTTTTCGTTCACCAAGGTCAGACCAAGCCACATGGTCTCACCAGCGGCAACGAAGGAAACCCGAAAACAGCTGAATTGCCAGACGGAGGTTTTTCTTTAGACACGGAGAACCCCAGAGGATCCATAGCAAAAGCCAGGATCGGGCAGCTAGCGTGGGACCCGTGCAACAGGCCAAAGCAGGCCGTCAACAAGCAGTAAGACCCAACAAACATTCTGTGGTTAGGGAGGTCCCATAGTGTTAATATTGTCTTTTTAACTTACTTTCATTAGTTCTCCTCTGCCATATGAGTCAAATGCTTCCCACAATCGAACCTCCATTCTCATTGTTTAGCCATTGCTTATTTTCCCTGATGTATTTAACCACCTTTTTATATCACCTTAGTTAGTTAATAAATTCACTGTAACCAAGGAATTGTGTGTGTTGCCTATTTCTACATCCCTGCCAAGAGAATTGACCCTTTAGATATGAGACTGACTGATTTAGGATAATTGAGCGATTATTAACTAACTGATCACTGGTGAATAATTGTATAATTATTAAAAGCTACCTAGAGGTCTGGAGACTAATTACAACTCCGGTGGTGCCCCTTCTTTTTCAAAACGAGAGCTTTTTATGGATTCATATATTTTTGAATATTAAAATTCATAATTGGGTATTAATTCTCATAAATTTATTAAAATTCATAGCTAGTTTAGACATGCTACAAGGGTTACAAGAAGTATTTAGATCTATTTCTTAAGTTAAAATATAAATCGTGATATGATATGATTGAGGTGATGACCTCTTTTTTTATTTTCTTAAATCTTTGTGAAATATTAGATAATTTTAACTTACCATAGTTTACCCTGGAATAGGTAAATAAATTAAAGCATCTGACAACTTTAGAGGGGAAATGTGTCTTTGGTGAGACTTCTAGCAACTTAAAGACATCTGAAATGTGTAAATGTGCCAAAAGGCACTGTTTTGTAAGGAGTCACAAACTAAAAAGATTAGAAACCACTGATTTTATCTTTAACAATGCAATTTCTAAACTCATATGTTGTGGAGTAAAAAGTACAACATTTCCCTCTGGATTGTGAGTATAATGATAAAGTAACATAAACTAGAAAAACTCAAGTAGAGTACAAGTACGTCAAAACAACTGAATTGTATTTAGTTACTTTCTACTGTCTAGCCTTGGCCTTGTAATTTCTAGCAGTAGACAGACCCATCAGCACAATGTTTTGCAAAAACAAGTTATTATTAAACAATACTTTGATGTTGCTTTGCATTACAATTTAAGCCAAATTATCATTATTATTAATATCATTATAATTATCATTATTATTATCATTAAGTAATAATAAAAACTGGTTGAAAACAAGCTTATTTCCCCCTTAACCTATACAATACCTGTAACATTTTCCATATTGAAGGACAGTCAAACATCATATGCCTGTTAGTGCCAAGAGCCACTTTGGGAACAAATCACAATTTTATGTAGTATGTCAAAATAGAGGACCAATAGATCCTGTGGCAAATTTTGTATTGAATTAATTAGTGATTTGGATGTTGGATTGTCTTGCAGTCAGTGTATTCCTCTCCCACTACCAGGTTATGTCACTAACTTCTTCTAATATTAAATTTTATATTTTTCTATTGCCAAGAATAAATATGACACAAATTCTCTAAAGGGAATTTTGTTGATGACAAAATTGAAAACTGATGACAGTGACTTTGATCTAGTAGTCCTGTTTTGTCTTTTGCAGAACTCAATTCCTGAACTAGATCGTTCTAACATCTGTGAAGTAATGATGAGGTATCACGGAAAGTGTTTTGGCTTGTTTTTAGAACTACCACTACATAACCTGGATCACATGTACTATTTTTTTATTACATCAGCTGTCCGCCATGATCCTGCTGTGTAAATATTAGCTAAACATGATTAAATAGCAGCTGATATGTAACAGAATGGTCCCTGTATGACAGACAGGAGATAACGACTGTTTTGACCTGTCACCATCAGACCTCTGCTTTGGACTTCATCTACCACTGGCCAAAATGATTCGCTTTTCTGCCGTCAGTCAACTATTAACAATAAAGTCATTAGACTATGTATTGCAAAAGGGACACTTAAATTTGTTAAAACCATGCAAGTGGGTGGCATAAAGTAAGTCCCATGTTTATGTCAGCCATACCAGACTCCTCCACTTCTAAACAAGCTTTGCTTTGTTTCTTCTTAACATTGTAAAAACCTGTATGTCCAAAAGGGCAGCTTTTCAGAAAATAAGGAACACTTGAGGTTTTTGATAATGTCTTATAACTTCTGATGGGTCTGAGCCTAAGAGGTTGCACAACTTTGTAAATCATTAGAAGAAAGTTTAATAATTAAATATGTCTTAAAGCATCAAAACCTAGAGATATGAGGTTTTTAGCTGACAGCAATGATGGGCTCTCTCTATTAGACAGAGGAGAGGCCTGCAAAACGCGTGTTCTGCGTTTAGAAAAGTATTTAGTGAAAGCCAATAAAGGAAACAAAGGGAAAGCATGCATGCGTCACACTCAGTGCCTCATTGCTTACTTTTTTTCAATGTGTAGTTTTGCACATATTAATCCTTCTCTTTATACAAAATGATCACATAAAATGTAAACTGAAGTGAAGCAACATTGCTAGATTTCACAAACACATTTATCACCACATACTTTAAACAGTATTTAAATGTTTTAGATAAAGCTCTAGCTGGCCTCTTCTGGTGAGTGTTTTCTTCTTTCAAATGCACTTTTATTTAAGTACATGAACCATATAATGAAAACGGTCTGAGGTGTAAATAGAGCTCTGTGTTTATGAAGACACAGGACTCTGGAAGTTAATGAAATGGATAGCTTTGGGTCTTTCATAAACAACGTTCCTTGAATTCTCTGTATTGTGTCGTGCTCATGGCCAAAAGGAGAAAGGGGCCTTAACTATAGAGAAGAAGTAATTTTTGGAACAAAAGGGTGATTTGTCTTAAAATATCCTTCTCATGGAAGAACATCTGTGTTTTATAATATTTATTTTACTCTTTTTAAATCTGCCCTTCCCCATTCTCTCCCTCCCTCCCTCTCTCTCTCACCCCCAACCGGTCGAGGCAGATGGCCATCCACCCTGAGCCATGGTTCTCTCATGGCTCAAGGTTTCTGCCTCTTAAAAGGAAGTTTTTCTTGCCTCTGTCGCCTAGTGCTTGCTCTTGGTGGGAATTTTTGTTTTTCTGTAAATAACATCACAGAATACGGTCTAGACCTGCTCTTTTAGGAAAAGCGCTCTGAGATAACTGTTGTTTTGGCGCAATATAAATAAAACTGAATTGAATTGAATCTGCAGTATGGCCTCCTGCTGCTTTTCTTGTTCACTTACCAGAAATAAATAAACAGGAAAATATTCAGGTTGACATAATTTATTTAATTAGTATGAAAAGCTTGAACAAAATTAACTTATTTTCTCACAGTATGAAAGTTACAAATTTAAAATTGCATACATCTACTGCATACATCACTTGTATCACTAAATGTCCACAGCAGCATTGGTGGTGTCACGGTAAAAAGCAAGGTGATGGTGATCCATCTGCTATTCACACTGTTGGTGCAAAGGAGCAAATTGTGCACAGTACATTACTGTGTAAAACAAACACAACATGGTGAAATATGTATCACTTTACTTTTAACTCCCCCTATATGGCATGTATAGGCAGTATATAATCATTTATTGAATGGTTTATAACAGACATTTATTGCATTTGAAAGCAGAAGTGTTTACTAAGGTATTTGTCAACAACTCTAACATCCATAAGCAGAGGCTGGTTTATAAACAGATAATGAATGACATTTTTATAAAACACAATTAGTTTAGTAGAAATTGTAATTGTTGACAAATACTGTTCATCAATAAATTATTAAAGATGTCCTTATATCTGCTTATGACTACATTTTAGTGAGTTATAACCAATTTATTAAATGCTTATATAGAGCTTATGAAATAAGGTAAAGAAAAGTGTTTAAGTATCAAAACAGTTAAGTTTTAGCGGGATTTATCCTTACAATAGAGCTGTACCAAATTTCCAGGAAAATTGGTAAAAGAAAACGCAAATTGAAGTGCATTTCCATCCACTACCGTCATACCGGAATATTAAAATGCCAGTCAAACCTCCAACAGTGGAAAACAATGTAGAAAACAATAATGGAAATGTGTCATTTATGTTATGTGGCAGATTTGATATTTTTGTCTCATTTGCTTCATTTACCTTTGCTTTTATCGATATACAACCTCAGCTAAGAGCTTCTATTTCAAGTGTTTGGTGCTGTCCCTCGGGTTATTTATGTGCAAAATGGTCATGAAAGGAGGTGGATGGAAATGCACTTGATATGTAATATGTGTCGATTTATTGTCATTATTGACATACCGACACATGGATCACATATCCAAGAAGCACTCGGCTATATGTCTCATCAGTTCCAAAAACCTTTAGTGCTAACTTTAACAGATTACAGCATCCAGACAGAATTTTTTGAGGCTCATCTGAACAGAAATCTGCAGTAAAATTTAAATAAAAGATCTACTGTGCAGGTGAGGTCAGAGTGAGTTCATTAAATGGACTGTCCATTCTGCCAGATTGAGGTTCCCATCTCTGCAATTGTGCAGATCCTGGATACCCTTTAGGTGTCACTTGGTGTCTAGTTACTCTTTGTACTGCCTCACATTCAGAATGCAATTTAAATGTCAATGAATACAGTTTAACTGATCACTCAATGCAAACAAATATGCCAAGAAATGGTGCTTTACATTGACAGTACAATACACAGTAGAGTCCACATACTGAAGATGTAACCTTTCCAGAGTTCATTAAAGTCTTTTCAAGATGGCAGGCACTGATTATCACAAAAAAGTGAAGAACAGGCCTTCAACCCAATTTTTCACCACACTGATCCATCAGGATCAGGTTTATGTTAGCATTTCCTTCTGTTCGTCTCCACTGGCCCTGTCTGCCTCAACCCTCAGATGCTCCAGGTCCTCTTCAGAGCTGCAGGCGCTGTGCTGCCTCCCCCGGGAGAAAATCCTGCGACGTGATTGGGTGCTGAGGTCTAGTAGGTCAAAGGAATCGGAAGAGAAGAGGCTATCCTCACTCACCACACTGGATGGCCGGCTGCGGCGACCCTCGCCGCCCCCTGTGGCCTGGAGGAGCTGCTGCAGAGCCTCAGGGAATATCGTGGTGGCTGAAGAGGGAGTTAAGTGGTGGTCATCAGGAAGATCCAGACTGCGAGAGAACTTGCCATTGCGTTTCAGAATACCCTTCCTTCTTCTTACTGCCTCTGTGCGCATGGTGGGGCTGTCTTCTGCCGCTGGGAGAGAGGAGTGCAGTTTGTGGGAGCACAGATCACCTGCATCGCTCTCTCTAACTAATGTTCCAGAGATCCCTTTTTCTGAGGATGAGCCACAACCTGACTCCCCACCATACAAGTTCTTTAGTATCCCTTTCTTGGGCATTTTGGATGAGGGCTGACTGAAAGTAGAGGGAGGAGACAGACTGGTGGACAGGACGTCAGCATGTGTGCGGGCAAGTGTATGTGTTCGATAAGGCTGGGAAGCAGCATTACATGGTTGGGAGGGAGAGTTTTCTTTAGGAGGGATGTGAAAGACTGAGTCAAAACTTCTCTGGGGTTTCAGAATACCTTTGGGCTTCTTTCTTTCAATAGTGGAAGTGGAGGAAATCACAGCAGAGGAGGCAGCTGTTGCACAAACAACACCACATGCTCCCAGTGTATTCTGGGGAATTGCATTCTCTTTGCGTGACTTCCTTAGGCTAGACATTCCTCCGCGTACCCTTCCTCCTCCTCCTACTCCTCCTCCTCCTCCTCCTCCTCCTCCACGGTCACTCTTCAGAGGTAAGGTGAAGTAAAAGACATTGGGAGAGAGCTGAGATGGACAGGAGGAGTCTGAGGATATGCATCCTCGGTTAACAGTCATGTTGCTGGTAGCTGCGACCCGATTCTGCCAGTCGATGTAGCGAGCCAGAAGGGGGGAGGGGCACTCTTGGTGTGGAGACAATGGGCAGTCACACACACTCTCTTCAAAACCCCAGTTCACCCACCAGTGGTTGGCCACGTCCTCTATCGTAGCCCTCTCGTCCACACGCACTGTCAACAGCCAGTCGATAAGGGCGCAGGCGTCTGGAGGGAACAGAGTCAACAATTATTTATAGCAGCCAAAGTGGCTAAAACAATGTTATTATTAACATACTCATAAGAAGAACACGCAAAGCAATCACGTCCGACTGAATAGAAATAATATAATGTTGATGGAGACATGGACTTTGTAAAGGTTTACCTGAGGGGGGGTTTGGTCTGCGGTAGCGACCTTGGCTGATCTGCTCTGTGAGCATGGCATGACTGGACCCGTCAAATGGCATGCTGCTGTACACCAGGGCATACAGCAACACCCCCAGTGCCCAGCAGTCCACCTAGCATGCAAATACGCACATAACGAAGAACAAGCACAATTGAACAGAGTGAGGTGGTGCATAATTTGATTTCATTTTAAGCATGACAAAAAGTACAGGATGTGGCCCTATTTTCTGATTTTCTATATCATTCAGCTTTATGAAGTCTAATATTGGAGCTTCTGAAAATTTAATTTACCATTGATTGTGTTTTTTTCTACAGCAAATGCAGGACACAATCAGTGCTTTAAAGCTGCACTAGTGAAATGAATGTGTAATGTGAAACGTGTCGCTCATAGTAGCGAACCCAACTCTCAAGTTCCCCTCAGCTCTACAGAGCGCTTTACCTTCTTTCAGCTCATTGTTTTGGATTTACAACCCACAGCTTTAAAGTTTTGGTGCGCTGCTAAATACACCATAATGCAATTAATCAAGAGTGATTCACTATGAATGACACACTATGATGTGTACGTAACATAATGGAACACCATGATGTTTGGAAACTGTTTCTCATGAGCAACGTTGTGTTGACCCACCTCTGGCCCCTGGTAGGGCAGTCCCTTCACGATCTCTGGGGCAGCATAGAGTGGACTACCACAGTAGGTCTGCAGCAGAGTGCCCCTCTGGAAATGATTGGAAAGGCCAAAGTCAGCCAGCTACAGAGGCAAAGAAAGAGAGAACATAAAATGTTAAATTTCACTATAATAATGTTGTGTCCATGGGTACCACTGCTTCTGAGCTGGTATAAGACTAGACAACTTTTAATTAACTATTAAACTAACTAATTAGAGTGGAAACTAAGAAAAGAAGTGACCATAAGTGATGCTAAAAATGGGACCAATAAAGCCGGCAATACATATAAAACTAGACATTCCTTAGAATTAACAATTGTAAAAACAATATAAGAAAAACAACCAAATACATCTTTTATATGGCATTCAAAGGTTTTTACAGCTGTGGGTACAAAAGACAAGACAGTCAAGCATGTGCATCTGTGTTTGTGCAAAAAGTGAACAAAAAAAGGGTTTATGTGACACTGAGTCTCAGCCATGGATGACATAACTACCTAACCGCTGTCACACTTGACTCTGCATCTCAGTCCAGACCTCTGTCTGCCAACACGAAACGCTTTGACTTTACAACACAATGGACTAATCTGTTAACACTGGACCCTTTATGTATTTCACTCACTCGGTCACTTCAAATCCTCACGCAATTCAGATTCTTTTTCAGTGAGTTACCCATGTGGCGAAAACACAGTAACAACTCAAAGCAATTCCTTTTAAAGGAGCCAAAAATAGGTATGCTGAGCTTCTGCCAATGTAAGTGTGAGTGGGGAAAAAGAGGAGGCCCAAAAACATCAGGCTGCTTACACTCACATAACGGAACAATCACTCACTCGAGCATGCCAGAGCCATACGCAGACATACAGAGGCTTCTCTCTATCTGAAGAGATTATTAACATGAACACCAGCCCACTATCAGCCTCTCTGGTGTTAAAAAAATTCAACATGACAGCTTTATTTCCATGGAACAGACATTCAGGAAAACAGAGACCTCACAGACCGAAGATGAGACTGCGCATACAGTCCATGTAAAGTGGCAATAATAATGTGTAGACTTGAGTGAGTTGTGCAGTTTATACAGCTTTGATTTCCACAAGCTCTGTTTGTGTGTGTGCATCCAGCAGTGTAAATTGTCTTTGTTGCCACCAGAGATACATCTGTACTAATTTAAGTTCTTTGGCGAAGACATTTATTGAAGGCTTGTATAAGATGCATGCTTTCTTCTAAACATACAGACGGCTCCTGTCCACATGCCTGGGAATTACATGGACTCTTGTGAGAAGCTGCCTGCCTCTCATACGCATGCAGGACTGAGACAGACAGCTGGTAAATGTTCTATAGTGGCTGGCAGCCAGTTTAAGTAAGATGATTTGAGAAGTAAATAAATTTGATGGGACCACCAAAATGACCTGGTTTGTCTGAGCTACTATTAAGTATTGCTTGTGTTTAGCTTTATAAAGTAAACATTCAACTTCCCTCTTGTCCAGTGAATAAATCAGCTGATCTGGCTGATTTGTCTGCTCACTAAAATGGCACGATGATTTAAGCTTAAAGATAAAGCAAGGGAGAAAAATGTCCCTGTGGTTAAGGGGGCTAAGACATGAACCATAAACCACAAAATCCCTGCTTCAAGTCTTACTGGAAAACGTGTTGCATGTCTCTCCCCCTTGTTTTTTCTCTCTACTGGCGCTATGTAATAAAGGCATAAAATAAATAAGAACTTCAAAAAAAAAAGACAAATTTCTTTATAGCTGCATACTATGCAGTTTTTAGAACACAATGTTTTCATGTTCTTCATGGATGATTTAAGTGCTTACTCATCTCTGCTCTGCTGTTTGTTTGTTTACTTTGCCGAGTATGTTGTGACCTTTCTAATCACATAAGCTATAAAGAGTTTATCTGGTTGTACTAACGTGAGGTGTTAGTGTCTGTAAGCAGTTTGACATAGTTCATGAACACCTTCAAAACAAGTTGCCCACTAAGCAGACTTGAAACTTGAAAACAGTCAAAGCCAACCATTAGTAGAGAATTTAATATTAGTATATTGTTAAATTACAATCTCCGGCTTCAGACTTGACCATGACCAAAACATTTTACCTAACATGTCTGGCTTTGCCTGCCATTAAGCAGCAATTGTGTAGCCATAACACGCACATGCCTTTCACAGAGGCCGACATGGTGATCCTGAGGTTTTCAATGAATGAAGAGCTGATGAGTGGTCTGCACATGGTGCTTTCTTTTGACGGACAGACAGAGCATATTTATATTAAAACCCTCCCATTGGCGCGATTGCCACTGGATTCCCAGCATTCCCCTTTGGCTGTGCACTGCTCCCAAATAAGGGGAGGAATGCCCAAATAAGGCAAAAAAATGACCCCCGGGTTCTTTTATAAGACCTGGCAGTATGTTTGTGCTGGTTCAGTGTGCATGGCTTAACAACACATCAAAATGACTGTGGGCAGAGCGTGCTCCAGTGTGGGTTCTGAATGTGCACTCTGTATTTTATTTTGGAGCTGGCAAAATAATCCATTACCAGCTATGCTACATGACGCTTCATTCCAGCATGCTAAATACAGCTGCAGTGGAAAAAGATGGCTTCCTGAAATGTGGCAGGTAGTGTGTCATAATAATGTATGCTTTTATGTCCAAAAATAAAAGTGCACTCAGGGGTTTCAGATGATGTATTTTAAAAACCCATGATGTCTTTAAAGCCCAAGGCCAAACGTTTGTCAGAGGACTTATCTACTTAGTTTCCTTCCAAAAACAAGATATTTATCTATCTCATTTATATTCCTAAACATGCATGATCACACTTCTTTTTTGTAACACGATATGAAGGCTCAGTCTGTTTTACCCATCTTACCTTTACATTCAAATCTCGATCCAAAAGGATGTTCTCCAGCTTGAGGTCTCGATGCACAACGCCATTCTGCAAGAAAGCAGAGACACATTAGGTCCTGTGCTGCTCCTCCCTCCTGTTTACAGTCAGATGTCTTCTCTCTGTATGCAATACAATAAGACTGAAGGGAGTGAAGTTCACAATATGAATCCAGCCTGTGCTGCATGAGGCGTTTGTCTCTCATTTATGACTTATATGACATATTGGAGAGCCTCGAGAATGTTTAATTGTCACCAGGCATGAGGAAGTGCTTTGTTTGGGTTAATTCATCTGATGAGATGCGATTTGATCCCCTGATGGCATTAAGCACCCTGGAGCCAACGAGAGGCCACAGAGTGTAGACAGCTGTGGAGCCTGTTGCGGAAGAACACTGAGAGTAGAGTACACTGCAGGTTCGATGGCAGGAAAAGTCTGTTTCCCTGACACTGAATAGGTAGTAAATCATAAGAAGAGACAATGCTGCTATAGATAACTGTGGCCACCCAGGAAGCAGTGCGATGCACAGAAACGAAAACGTTAGTTTCTCTTAAAGCCACAGGCTAATGAGCCCAAAAAGCCTCCTTTCTTTTGTTAATCACATTCTCTTCAGAGCACTTAAGTGGAGAAAATGGCCCACAATGTTGAGTGCACTATATGTACAGTATGCATGCCTGTGTGTGTGTATGTGTGTGTCTGCAAGGCAGAGACGAGGAGAAAAAAAAAAAAGCAGAAGTAAGAAATCTATGTGGTTAACCAGATTATTATTCCTGCTATTTTTAAATGACTATGAACAGATTTGGGAGGGAAAAAAGAAAAAAACAAAAGCAGGCAATGACTCAGAATTATTTTCATTCTTCTCTTGAAGTCTCGATAATCCCTCCATGTGCCATACCTCACAGGCACATTCAATAATTCATTCATGCCAGAACATTCGTGTCTATTTTGGGACAACATTTGAGGGCACGAGGAGCACAAATTCCAGCTCCCTGCCTACTACAAAGCTACAGAGGCTGAATGATAATCTCTGCGTTTAATGTGAGGGATTCATGAAGAAGCCAAACTGCCAAAGTAAGAATGATATGAAAACAAAAACACTTCAAATCCAACTCAGCTGACTGTACAGCACAGGTCCTCACTTCTACAGTGCTTCTGTGTATATAGGATGTATGTATTTCCTTAATAATTCCTGTTCTGTTTCTGGCACAGCTGTTGTTTTTATGTACACTTAAACAAAAAACTGAGAAACAAAATAGAAATTGTTCGTTCACCAGGAGCTGATGTGGAGGGAGGTGGGGAAGGTCATTTAGACAACGTGTTTGTTAAATGTGTCAGTGTGTGACTGTAAAAAACAATCATGCGATAATGCGCTCTTAACCCAGAGAGATCTGAAAACTCAAGTCAAGTTTTCCCTCAGAATTAGGATTAGGATTTAGTGGATTTAGCGGTACTGTATTTGCTTGTGCACAGTTGAATACTGCAGCATGCAAGTGAGCACGTGTCTACATGCGGTTCCCTAATTTATGCTGAATTCCAGTAGTGCGTTTGCAGAAAGTATGTGTGTATATACAGTATGTGTGTGTGTTTATGTAAACCTTGTGGCAGTAGTGGACAGCGGACGTGATTTGTCTGAAGAGGCCTCTGGCTTCTGTTTCTGGCAGTCTCCTCCTCTCGTGGATGTAATCGTACAGCTCTCCCCTGCTGGCATACTCCATGACTATCACAATTTTATCCCGGCTCTCAAACACTGCATAGGACACAGGACACATTTACAGCTCAGCATTAGGTAGATGTGTTTACATGAGCAAAAAGAGATATTATACTGCATACATAGAAATGGAGACACAAATAATTAAGAGGCTGAAAGTTCGATTATTTTTCAATCAATGTACAGTAAATACTTGTTGTTTACTGTTTGTTTCCCCCAAATTACTACATACTTTATCCCAGAAACTATTTAAATCAAGAACAAACCAGAAATTGTGCACACTTCTGCGGTAAGATTCTTACCTGATTAAGGTTTACCATTAGAAACATCTTAATTAGGTGAAGTACATGTGACCTACAAGTTGATGTTGACTCTTTCAATTAATTTGAAACATACTCATATGTATCTCATACAGTCCATCAATGGATCCTTTGTGGGAATTGCTGCACAACACTCTTCACTATCAGACTAATGGTAAAGGTGTATGACACCCACTTTGATTTCACAGCACCACTTATCTGTACTGTAAGTGACTGACTATGAATGTGCATGACTTTTGTCTCATGTAACATTCAGGGTATAAAAAGCTGTCTGAGACTGCACATTAATTCAATGATTTTTGGCACTTGGGTCCATGTGCAATGTGTTGCAGACTTACCCTCGTGGAAGCGTATGATGTTGGGGTGCCTGAGCGAGGAGGTGATCTCAATCTCTCTCTGAATGTGAATTCTGTCCAGGTCGTCAGTGATGCGCTCTTTGCGGATCGACTTGATCGCCACCTGAGGAGGAAGACACATTATTGAGTCTGTACATGGTACATGAACCTTTGTGTTCGAATAACACATATTTTGATAACCTTGGGGATTAAGTGTGGCTGGTTAAAAACTTTCAAAAGGATAATATTCTAGAAATTGTCTTCTACAGCAAGAAAACAGTTGTTGTTGCTGCCCACTTTCACAGAAGATCTGGTGACAGCAAACACAGATTCCTCTTTAATTAACTCCTCTTCAAACCCACCAGTTAACTAATTTTTCCTTCACCTCGTTCACAGCAACTCAAAACAGTTATTTAAAAGAGTGAACAAACACTGATAAATGCACAGATAAATAAAATAAGATAAATAAAATAAATTGAATTGACAGATCATGTATAACCTACATAGGCATGCATGGAAACGAAGGCATACATACTGTTGATACAAGTACACTCACGCAAATAGTCTCTGGGTATTAGAGGTGATTATGTGGGTTTCAAGGGCTGGAGCACGCTATGGGGCAGAAGGTTGACAGCTGCCCTGTTCACACTCTGCTTCATTAATCCCAGGCGCTTACTGTACCCCAACCCTAACCCCAACCACTGGACACATACATACCAAAAACAGACACCACTGCATGAGCCCTCTAAAACTCTTTGGAGTATCTGTCACCAACATGGTACCATGCAAGGACTATACAGAAGCAGACAACTAAATAGACATGCTGTTCAGAAATATGTCTTATTTAGAAATACTGTAAGCTAAAAACAGGACAACAAAGAATGAGCGATGTGGTGAGGCTACAGGACTACTTTGTGAGGTTTACATCCTAACATAGCACTGATCATACCCCTGTACATTTCTGTCAACCCCTATAATATCCCTATGGGTGAACAGGACTCTCCCCAGGGTTACAACTCCAACATTCTCAGCTGCCGGAAAAAACTGAGACACTGAAAGACATAATTCACACGCTCCATCAACCGCAGTGGTTATGCAACACAACATGAACACACTCCAGGGAACTCCCTGGACTGACTTGACCTTCCATAACTGATGTGAACCTTCATTTAAGCGAAGAAGAATCTTTCTATTTTGGAGTTTTGTGTCTTTTCTTTAAACAAGAGCTGAAAGATTTTTCTCACATCACCAGACTCGCCAGACTGATGTGGCATCTAAGTCCATCCAGAGGTACTGTGTCAGAGATTAGGCCACACATATTCAATGGTTGTCAGCTGAATGGCACATGTCCAAGCTTGGGGGGACTATTAACATGTGTACGCTTGCATGCTTTTGAATGTTTTCTGACCCAATTACCTGCTGGCTGGGAAAGCGATATAGGAAGGGAAGGACTATGAAATAAGCTGCAGGGATGAGGAGGGAGGATGTAGGCAGCAGCTAACAGGACAGGTGAAAGGAATGGATAACATAACTTACATTTTACAGTCCATCTAAGGTCTAACGTACCCCGTGGACTTGGCATTAAGATCAGCAGAACACAGAGAAAAGAGACACACACTGGGCAGTGTTCAGCCTTCAGGGTACTAAGAGCATTTTAAAAAGGGGTGCATAATGGAAAAGAAGTGTGGCTTTGTGTGTGCATGATCTCACCCTTATGCATGCGTATGCGTCAAGTCTACGTATGACCTCTAAAGTATCCTTCTATGTAACAATGTCTATTGTTCATCTAAATAGTTAGTGTGTGTATGAAGTCATGATGGGGGCTGGGGGTGGCAACTCACTGACTCCCTGTCCTATTATTCTCACAGTCACAGACAACCTCATGCACACACACACACACACACACACACACACACACACACACACACACACACACACACACACACACACACACACTTCGTCCCATGAGAATCATGAAAGATTCCAGCTGCATCTGTGAAAGATTAAACAACAGCATTATGTAGACTCCTTACTAACACATGCACACACTACAGCACCGTGCCCTGAATTGGACAAACACAGTCACAAAAACAGTCGGCATGGATTGCTATTCGGGGTGTGAAAAAGATGTCCCTCTGGTACTCTTCACTTTGGGGAACCTACTTGTTTAACAATTCTACACGAACAGGGCAAAACAATATTCTGTTTTGGTACTGACATTCAAATATAATATGCACAACAGAAATTATTTGAATGTGTTATAGAAAATCAAAACTATAATGGTCTTTTTTTATGACTATTCTTAAAGACAATAAGCCTTGTTAAAGCAGTAATTTGACATTTTGGTAAATTAATTTGCTTTTTTGCCCAGAGTTAGATGAGAAGGTACCACTCCCATTTCTGCTGAAGTTATGTAATGTTTTATAAACATCAGAATTGTACATTGCACAAATAAAAATATTTTAATGTTACTTTAACCAATGTAAGTGACCTAACAGTCCATATGAGTGACCCCGCATATGCAAGACCCGGAATTCATCATCCTTTCCTTCCATTTCATCTTGTACGTTAGTCATGGTCACATTTTACAGGGACAAGTCAGCTCTTTACTGTAATCTCAAACTATTGCTACAGTCTCACTCGTCCTCCCCCTCTGCTTCCTTCTTGCTCTAAAACTGTCTCCTCCTCTGCCTACTTCCCGCAGTCAAACAACAGCCCCCTGGTCTTCTTTCCAAAAATAATGTCCGTTTTGTTTCAAAGAATCCTTGGTATGTGCTGGCTATAGCTCAAAGAATTCAGCCCATTTCTGCCCTTGTTCTACCAAACCCACTCACACAAACATACACACACACACACACACACACACACACACACACTGCATAGCTCTTTCTCTCTGCTCCCCTCATTCTGTATACTCTTCAATCTTCTACCTGTCTTCTGTCTTTCACTCCTTCTCTTCCTTTTCTCTCTAACAGATGTAGGTCTCAGGGTTACAGTGAAAGCAGCCAGAGGAATGATGCCAGTCTCACTTCCACAATCCGATTGCAAAAAAAGATTATCCCTATAACAGTGTGTTTGTTGACTAAAAAAACAGAAGGGGAATTGGAGGCTGACGGGGTATCTGTCTCTTTGTGTTCTGATCACAGCAGAGTGAGGGATTAAAACCTGACTGCAGACATAAACCCGTGATTATTCAAAGTAATCTGGCTCCACATTCTGTTTTTTAACCTGGATATTCAGAATGTAAAGTTAAAATGAAACACATTATATTATTATGTCTGTCTATGTATGTTCATGTGTGTGTGTGAGAGAATTTGTGTGTGAGTGATTGTGTTCTGGTAGAAAGGGGGTCAGACTCCTATTGGAAGAGACCTATTGTAGTAATTTTATCCCCTTGTTCAAGTGCTGAGTGAGTCAGACCAAAGGCATCTCAGCCTGGCAGCACAGGAAGCAAGAACAGAGTTCAGCATCACCCCATGAGCTCACACACACACACACACACACACACGTTTGTTCCTCTATCCCTGTGGGGACATATCATTGACATTATGCATTCCCTCGTTTCTTACCCTAATCTTAACCATCACAACTACATGTCTAACATTAACACTTACCCTAACCTCATACACACACACACACACACACACACACACACACATTATAGAACCCCCCAAGAGATTAACTCCACCTACAAATTAATATTTAATAACCAATAGGCAGCATTCCTACAGAAACAAGACACAAACTCTGCCAAAGGGAGACTGCTTAATATCTCCCAGGAAGACCTAAGCATGAGCAGCATATCACATTATCTCTATAAAGCTTTTGTAGGCCTATGGGTCAGCAGAGGAGTTCAAGAGGTGCATCATTATGTACATTTACCCATCACCAGTAACTATATTTATTTATTCCACGTGTTAATTCTTTAAGATGATACAACAAAGCATCCTTCAGGCACGCAGCTGTGGAAAGCTTTAAGTAATACGCACCGCGTTAACCAACACTCACCGTCTTCAGGCTTGCTCTCTCCACCGCCTTTTTCACTTTGCCATAGGTGCCTTTCCCCAGAGTCTCCATCACCTCATAGCGGTGTTTCAAGTTATGTTTGTGCTGGTGCTTCTTCACTTCCATCGGCGCTGTGGCAGTCGGTGCACGGCCCACCGCCTCCATGCCTGGGTTTCTCTGCCGCTTGTCCGCGCTGCAGGGACGGCGTCTGTCCTGTTTCGGGGACTCCTCGCCGGCATGGTGGCCGCTGGATGCCTCGTCCTGCAGACAACCGAGCTCGGAGTGGTCGCTGGTGTTCATTGCGCCTCTACTGTCAGCCTCACGTCTGCCCATCCTGTCTGCGCACTGCGCGCACCTGTCAGGATGCAGCCTTCGCCGGGACTGGTTGCCCAAATAACTTTGAGCTAACTAAAGCATCTAAAGCGCTTGATCAATCTGAGCAGCAGTTGTGTTCTCCCCTCTCCTCAAACACAGCAACAGGAGCGATGGGTGGAGTCTCCTCATTCCACACAGCTCTCATAGCAACATCCCGGAGCGTCACACTCTTTTGGGATCACTTTGGGTTTTCCGAGAGGCTCGTGTTTGACCTTCTCAGCAGCAGGAAGGAGGTGATGATGAAGGCATGTATGGAATGTCATGCGGGTCAGACGCTCACCCTAAATCCACCACTTCAGTCAGACATGTTTGTTGATGCTTTGCCTGCGGTGAGCGCAGAAAACAAATCATTGAAAAGACTTCGAAGATATAGAGTCTTTGAACTCAGGAGTAATGGTTTAAACGTTTGTTAGACGGCATAAATCACAAATAAAAATATAAGGTTGCTTATCTATGGAAAGGCAACTTAATCCATATATTACACCATGCAGAAAGTGAGAATAGGATTACAGGGCCTCTTAGATTTACCATAAAGCTTAAATGTCAGTGTGACAGTTACTGAGTCATTAATGTGTCAGTAATACACTTTTATAAGGATGAAACATTTGTACCAAGATATCAAGCCTGTCATGACAAATGTTAGTAAGTCACTGAAATGGTTAATGACCCAGATACCAGGACAGTAAAAAAATTTCATAACAACAACCCTAACTAATAACTTAAATTACAAAGCAAGCTAATTTGAGAGATTCTTCACCTCAAATGTGGGCTCACAATCTTGTGACCCAAAAAGTCCCATAAATAATACTGTTTAACAATTTAGTACTGATCTGTAAAGCATTAACATGATTTACTAACCATTAATAAAGACATTAATAATGATTTGATGATCTTTACAATTATACTGACTTGTAAAGCACTCCCATGGCTACAAGACTTACCAGAAAAAGGATTTAGCCTAATCTGTTATTTGTTCAAAATCCTTAAAAGAATTGTTAGACATTTTCCTTATTCGTTTTCTTGCTGAGAGGTAGATGAGACGATCGATCTTATATTTGTCTGTTCAATGTGAACCTGGCGCCAGGAGATGCTAGCTTAGCTTAGAACAACACACAGAACAAGACTGGAAATAGGGGGAAACAGTTAGCTTGGCTCTGTCCAATATAAAAAACAAACAAACTGCCAAACAGCATCTGTAAAACTCACTAATTAACAGGTTGTACAAAAACCCAAGACGTATTTTGAGCTTTAGAGGTGCTGAGGTGGATCTTTCCCCTTGAACAGAGCCAGGCTATCTGTTTGCCTCTGTTTGCATTCGTGGTGGAAGACAGGAAACATTCACATGAAGATAATAAGAAACTAATCAATTTTATTGTTTAGGTATATTGATGGATACATTTCAGAAAGATTAGTTTAAAAGAACACATTGAGTTTTGCCTTTTTGGGGGGGAAGTTAATAGACTGACATCCTTTCATCATCAATCAACTACACATCTAAATTTCACATGTATTTTGACCTTGAAGTTGATACATGTGATGTTCAGGAGTTAAAGGGTAAATTCTGTATTTTTCAACATGGACATCTTTTGAAATTGGTCCAATATTTAGCGAGTGCACTGCAGTTGGCAGCAGCAAGAGAGGGCTGCAACATAATCCTTGCGGGCAATTGCGCCCTGTCAAATTACATCCACTGAAGTGCTTGTTTTTGCCACCTGGCTGGTCTAACAACGAAAGGATGCCTACAGAGATAGACCTTTTTTGAAGAGTAAGATCTTTTTTATTTCATCAGAAACGGTCATTATATCGCTCTAGTCACAGCCACCAGACTCCATTGAACAAGAAGTCCCTACGTTAGAGCCCTGTCTCACTGCTGCTGACTGCAGTGCGCTTGCTCACTACTGGACTAATTTCAAAAAAAGGGATATATCCAGGTTGAAAAACACCAAAGTTACCCTTTAAGGCTTGCATAAAGCTGGATGAGGTCTAGAGGACAGAAAGATATTTCCCACACATCTGGCTCTTTGCGTTGTTGCTCAGAGTCAGGAGGAGATTAATTAGGGTGTGTAGAGGTCTCGAGGATTGAGGTTAGCCACCAGACAGACGTCATAGCTTTCAAGCATGGCTGCTCGTCTTTCCACCACCATCCACACATTGTCTGCAGGGTCCAATTCCAAAATCTCCTTGGTGATGATCTCATGACGGCCTGCAGTCATGAGAGAAAATATGTAAGTTAAGGCTGACCAAAATCTAATTTCCAGAGAGAGCTTGCATTCCCTAACTCTGATGCAGACCCAACGTGTGCCTTGTTTATGTGCAACAGGAGGCATTTCAGCCAGCAAAAGCCAGTTCACCATGAAGTTAAACTTGTTAGGGAGAACCTTTCTGAGAGACCACACAAAACAAAAAATTATTGACAGGCTATCACTAAAATTCACTAACTAACCAGCCCCCTTGTAGTATCCACAGAGGTAGATCTTGCCCTCCACTACTCCTATATTGGAGGCATTGGTTCGAAGGGAGAGTAAGGATGTGGGCAAGGGCGGTCCCACCCTCCAGGTGTCTGTGTCTGGGTTATAAATCTCCACAGAGCTCAGACAGCGACGTGATTGTCCACGGTCCTCTCCATCACATCCTATACCACCTGAAAAACACACACACATCATCTGGCTCAATTTGATTTTCATACAGAATGATACTCGGGAATGCAGTTAGATTTGGTCTTATAGTCTGACCTAGTATGTAGATTTCTCCATTAAGGACAGCTGTGCCGCAGCGGTACCTGGAGGACTTCATGCTGGCACACTCTGTCCATTCGTCCTTGCCAGGGTCAAACTGAAACACACGGTTACTCAGCTTGTCAGGCTCATCATCTGGCTGGTGCTGAGGGAGGAGAAGAGAGAGTTGGACAGACAAGACAAGAAAGTGAGGTGAGAACTGAGAAATGAGAAGACAAATATTACAGTGAATATTTCACCATCTGCCTTTAAATCATTGAGTTGCTTTAAAGTCGCCATGTAGGATTAAAAGAAATTTCAAATTATTCTGATGGCATAAGTTTTTGTTTAAGATAAGATGTTGGAGCCCATTCATCTCAGTTCATGGGTCTGAACTGGGCAATGGTCTTACAGTGACTTTTTTGCCCAGCTCTGTCAGGCAAGTTTTAAACATGCTAGATGAAATGTGTAAATCAATGCAAAAACAACGCAGGACAGTCACTGAGGAAATCCAGGGTGCAACTCAAGCCTTAAAAAGGTTTATATGTATATTTATTCCTGGAAAAACACTTTTAACAATTTTTAAGGTTTTGTTTGTAACAATAAAAACAAGTTACAGTATACATGGTCTTTTGTGAATGTGTGTAAATTGGCCAATACTGATATTATATTCCTGGCCTGAATTATTATCCCACTCCGGCCCTGCTTCAGGGTGCCAAAATTCCAGTGGATTTACAACCCTTGGAAAGTATTTCTCTGTAGCATAAAATACTTACTTTTACTACTTATTGAGTTTAACACCTAAAAATGAATCTGCTTTTTCAGGACTGTACGGGTGTGGAATGATCAAAAATGATTGACAGGGCTGGCAACATAAGCAACAACCTCATAATTGTCATTACACTTCCAAATTTTGCTTAAAGGTACAGAATCACGATTACCTGCCCCAAATCGATATCGCCTCTCTCAAATCTCGAGGAAAAGTGGTATTACAACACAGGACCGGCTGGGGCTTGCTGTTTAGCATGCTAACTTCAGTAGATACAGTATCTCTGCAACACAATGCATATATGTCTCTGACATAAGGTCAGAACTGTTACTTATTCACTTTCTGTTGATGATGTGAGTTAATTTTTTGAATGTTTTAAAATAAAATTCTGGCCATAGTTTACACATTGTACCTTTAATCCTGATTGGTGTACAGAAATATGTAACCTAATTTGTCAGCAATTGCGTTCATGTTGGAATCAGTATTAGTAAGAACATCCATCCATCCATCGTCAACCGCATATCCTGCATACAGGGTCGCGGGGGGCTGGAGCCAATCCCAGCTGACATTGGGCGAAAGGCGGGGTACACACTGGACAGGTTGCCATTCCATCACAGGGCCACACATAGACAAACAACCAGTCACACCCACACTCACACCTAAGGACAATTTAGGGTCACCAATTAATAGTAAAAACATGTTTAAGAAAATTGGTTTTCAAGACCTTTAGATATTCAAGTGTTTATTGACACCTGTGGATAGTCTGTTTTTAGTTCTCAGCACCTGAATCTGATAATGAAGCAGTGTCCTCTTGTTCAAGGACACATCAGTACACCCATCTACTGCACAGTTAATATTGGCATGCAAAGTATTTTTTGACAAGTCTGGATACCTGTGGTGTCCAGCCCCCCAGCACATAGAGGTGCTCCTTCAGGTTGACGACACAGTGGCAGGCTAAGGGGAGAGGCAGAGGGGCGAAGCTGAGCCAGCTGCCTCCTCTCTTCAGTGACCATCTCTCCACACTGTCTGTAATGATGTAGTGATTGCGCACTTTCATCTGACCGCCTATCATGTAGAGGGCATCACCTAGCATCCCTAAAGCATACATGTCCCTGTATTTTGCTGAGCACAGCTCCACCCAGCTGTTCTCCTCAGAACTGTCGTACCTGGAACATGAAAAGAAATTTTAGATCTGGTGGTGAATGCTGTGCCATTCCAAAATATGGATTTCTTACGTATGAGCACACATAAACACCTGTAGATATCCACCCTCTTTATCCTGTGTTGGTCTTCTGCCTCTATGGCCACAAAGATGTTGTTGTCTCGTGTCACTGCCCCACCTGTGACCTGTCCCATGCCTCCACTGCCCCTCAGTGGAGAGGGAATGTAGTAAGTCCTTCTACCATTGGGGGCAAAGCAAAAACTGAGGTCTGCAAGTCCTCCACGGCGGGCAGGCACTCCCTCTTTATTCACCCCACCCAAGCAGAGCAGCAGGTCGGTGGTCTCCATGCCGTAACGAAGGGTTGGCCGAGGTGGAGCTGACGTCTCACACAGACCCGAGGTCTGGAGAGCAGCATCAATCATCCCAAAGCACTCAGCATCCC